TACGGAGGTTTTGTCCCTCTCTGTGCTGTGAACAAATTGCGGATCGATGCGTTAGCGGCGCAGGTGTTCCGCGTCCGCAGCCCGCAAAATCAAAGCAGCGGAACATTGCGGTCGTTACAGGTCCTTATGACTCGTAACAGGTCCTTATGACTCGTTACAGGTCCTTATGACTCGTTACAGGTCCTTATGACCATGACCGTGACCAAATACAGATCCCCGGAGTTTAATTCAGTAGATATATAAATGAAATGAAATATAAATGAAATGAAAAATAAATGAAATGAAAGAAATTTTAACATCAATCAGTAGTAATGTCGTTGATAGTCAGAATAATACACCATGCGTTTGAACTTTATGCCTCTTGTACCTGTCGACATTGTGTAACAAAGAAATAAAGATACATTTCTTCTGGTGAATAACATTTCTTCTGGTGTGTACATTTCTTCTGGTACATTTCTGGTACATTTCTTCTGGTGTGTAACCAAGAAATAAAGATACATTTCTTCTGGTTAATATTGATTAAATATAGCAGTAAAAACAGCGTGGACATCCTTACGCACCCGTCACATCCATGCGCGCGAGGATGCACTTGCGGTACCGGCAGTACGCGCACCAGTTGCGCCTGCGCACATCCACCACGCATGCTCCTCTGCCTGCGGGACAACACAGGAATGTGTGACAGTGTGAGGACACAGCTACACAGGGTGATTCGCACACACACATATAACGTATGCACACACAGGACGATTTATTGCATGATGCGCATGATTTATTGCGTGATGCGCATGATTTATTGCATGATGCGCATGATTTATTGCATGATGCGCATGATTTACTGCATGATGCGCATGATTTATTGCATGATGCGCATGATTTACTGCATGATGCGCATGNATGATGCGCATGGTTTATTGCACGATGCGCATGGTTTATTGCATGATGCGCGTGATTTATTGCATGAAGCGCATGGTTTATTGCGTGATGCGCATGGTTTATTGCGTGATGTGTATCATTTATTCATTCATAAGCATAATGCTCTGATTGAGAACCGCGAGGCTTCAAACAGGCTCGGTTCTTCCCTATGCGTTTCTTCACAAATTAGAATAGACTTTACTCCACTCGTAAATGAGATGGCGATTTTGATTTTTCCATGTGTACCCAGCCATTTATTTATAAACGGTGACCAAGAACAAAAAATATGTAAATCTTGTATTAAAAGAGTTATAATGAAAGGAAATTTCAAGAAACTTTGAATATTATTGTTTATCAATTCTGCGACTTTTACACTTTTTTCGAGATGTAAACGGGTTGTAATTTTTATTCTCCATTGGTCGGCCTAATTCAATTAGTTATAGCCGACCGTTGGCCATTCCTCGGCCACCTAAAAGGGGCTAGGGGCCGCGACAAAGGGGCTGGCTAGGATATCATATTACACTGTTAGAAAAATTACCGTTAACGGTATTACCGGCGTTTCAGTGGCCGGTCGGCACGTGAAAAGAAACACCGTGTCGCCGTTTTTATTCTAATTTANCGAAAGTTTTTTCGCATTGGGTACGGATTTTGCAGAAGATGTGTATAAGCGCCAGCACCCGACCTGTGCTACGGCCTGGCACGTGGAGGGGACGTGGAAATGTGGTATGAAGGGGTGGTGTGGGGTAGGTGGAGGGAAAATAAAACGAGGGCGTTCACACAATTAGAAAAGGAGGGGCACAAGTAGGGGAAATGGAGGGAAAATCAAAGATAGAAAAATGTATGGGAACGGCCTGGCACGTGGAGGGGGGCGTGGAAAAGTGGTATATGGATGGGTTGGATGGAGGGATAATAAAACATAGAAAATTGTAGCCTGGCACGTAGAGGGGGCGTGGAAAAGTGGTTTATGGTTGGGTTGGATGGAGGGATAATAAAACATAGGAAATTGTAGCCTGGTACGTGGAGGGGGCGTGGGAAAGTGGCATGAGTGATGGAGTGGGGTAGGTGGAGGGAAAATAAAACATAGAAAAGGAGGGGTACATGTAGGGGTAGATGGAGGGAAAATTAAACATAGAAAAATGTATGGGGTGATTTTGCGATTTACTGTTGTTTTGTGTTTAGGCCTTTTTAGGTTTTATGGCTGACATGGAATTTTGAATTACAAAATGGTTTTATTAATTTTTAAGATTGTCGAATTGATGATGGAGCTGGACTTCGAAATGTTTTCAATATCGATATGGTGAATTTGCTTGGCGTTTTGTTTGCTTTTAAATTCCTTGTGATGGGAAGATGTGGTTACATGAAATCAAGTTCCTTGGTGGTCTGGTAGTGGTGGTGGATAGCACCACCAGCAATAAAAGATAAAACCACCATACCAGCGATGTGATAACAAAGATAACACAAAACTTGTCCTCAGATGTTAAAGTCATAAATATAGATTGCAGCAACCGCGGTTTAAGGGCGATGAACGCAATGATGAAAGCAGAGTTTGCGTCAGACCGGGCCATTCTAATTTCGGCCTAAGGAATAAGTTCTGCATCCATTGGGTACCAATGACAGAATACTATCATCTCCTAAAGTTTAAGGCGAATTATAGACACGAGGGTACTTGCCAGTGACCACACTTCAACGCTAAACGGTATATAGAGACACCGTAATCAGTGATTATGGTTTGAAGGACATTGCACAGGTTTGGCAATAATTTTGGCATTTTAACATGTAAATTTGAATGAATTAATATGAGAGTGAATAATAAATGGTAACTGGAGGTCAATAAAGAATAAATATCGATATTGGGGACGGTTATGCGCCAGTCTCGTAGTCAAGAAAAAAATAAAAAAATTCTTCACCTGCAACGATTGCAGATAATTAGTTTAATAATTAAAATTAATTTAAATTAATTAATTTAATTATTTAATTAATTTATGATACAAACGTGCATAAGTATTTATATTATTGAAAAGGAAGATAAAATTGATAGCGAGCGAGCTGATATTGATCATGATGCGCTCTATAAACAATTGAAAAAGTGACTTAGTAAATTTCTGTTGAAATACCATACTAACCGACGTCTGCCTGGCTAATTCAGCTCGTTCGTTTTTGTGAAGCGGAATGAGTCGGTTCGATGCCTGTATAACTCGTTTGGTTTGTATTAAACTTTTACTTTTATTTGCGAGTCATTTGCTGCTTCAATGTGTTTGCACGACCTTGCGTGGTTTAAACTAAAGTAACAAACTGAACGAACTTTTAGACACTTGGTAGAAGTATATTTGAAATAAATATATCATCGTACGAACTTTTGCATAGAATTGTAAAAACGAGTTTAAATCTTTCTCTCACTAGAAATAGATTTAACGAAAATTCGGACAGAGAACGAGAACAAATTAGTGGAACTTGACTGAGCAGTTCCATTGATGGCAGTTTGTTCATGTCAGAGGGTGGCTTAATTTTTAGCGCATTTTCTCATTTATGGCAAAAATGCACTATTGTGCTCGCCATGTCCGTCTGTCTGTCTGTCCGTCCGTCCGTCCGTCTGTCCGTCTGTCCATCCGTGACCTCACGTTTCCGTCGATGAGAAGATGCGCTCTCTGTCGCTCACTGCAGTGAGTACTGAGTCATATTTTTTCTATTGATCTTGATTGCAACCTATTGCTGATTGCAATCAATTAGAGGTCTTACATTTTTTCTGTACGGATCTTTCTATTATATATTTGACGTGCAATCATAGCGACAATTTAGTAATCGAATGAAATGTTAAACTGAAATTCCTTAATGAATGTTTGAAATATTTTATAAATAGGTTGTGCAAGCCTACATACAACTTGAGGAAATAAAACCGACATTTTGCCATAAATTGTATTTGAAAATTGTGTGAACGCTGTTGAAAAATCTACATCTGATTCTTTATTATCATAATAGACAATTTCGTGTTTCTTCTGATATGATTCGAATTCAATAGCAGAAATTGACTTGCATTTTGTTGATATTTTATTCTTAAATAAATCAGGATTAAGGAAGAAGAAAGAAATGTATTAATGGATAAATAAATAAATAGAGCAACAGATGATAACAGGAATAAATTACGAAATAAAATTAGAAATTATCAATAGAAAATAGCGTAGAAAATACATAAAATTTTCCATTATAAAAGTGCTTCTGCTTTTTGGACGCATCGTGTAATTGAGGTCACGGTGAATATAAATTATTTTTTGTACATTTATTTGCTGGAAAAAATCAGAAGTATTTTCACAATATTTAATTGATAACGATGCAGGTGATGCAGTGGAATATTGGGTGTATAGATCAGGCGAGCAGAAGTGAAGAAGAAAATTATTGGGTTTAAAAATGACTATTACATTCGCTTTACAAATAAATAAAATTTTGTCATTTTGGCGTTAGGTGCTTTGTTGAATAAGCCTTTGCAAACGGATATTAAATTATTGCAGATGAATTTTTTTTTGGAAAATACAGTAAGGAAGTGAATGAGCCAGAATTGCATGAAGATGACATTAAATACACAAGATACAAAAACTATTCAGCAAAAATCCGAATTGTTTTTGATAAAATTAATGACCAATTATTTTCGTTGCGCTTCAATTTATAAATTGAATTTCTTCTCAATTTGATAAGCAGCTACGAGCCTTAAAGTGTAGTCGAGCTTGGAAACGTCATCGTAGTTTAGGAATTTTTAGCTATCTTAAAATAAAGCATGAATATTTACAGTCTCTTAAAATCTAGCTTTAAAAATAAATGACCTCCGATAATTTACAAAGCTAGTAAGCATCATTAAGCAGGAATTGCTTTACATAAAAGTCTTATAGGTAATATTTACACGGCTGGGAATATAGAGAGTCTGAAACATTTCGAATGAATTTTTTATTAAAACTGAAATTCTTAATGAGAAATGAAAGTCGGATTTCACAGCCAGCTTCATTGTCAGCTCTTGTATGTCAAATATAAATATATCAAGGCTCTGAAAAAATTTCTCAATGTTTTTGAAAAAAAGTATCATAGTCTTGATCATATACATGAATAAATAATTTAATTACTTATTTAAATACACACATTTTTTATTTATGGCTCCACTCCACCTAACAATCGACCAAGTCGGTAGATTTACTCGAACCACTGCAGATGGCAAAGGAAATTTTCAAAAATGTATGCAATAGCTAGCTTAAAATTGCATTAGGATTTGCGATAGTTTTCTTCTGGCAGCTCGTAAATGAACTCGTTGAGTCCAAAATATTGTTCAGCGCTGTCGCACAAGAAGTTATACCACCAGTCACATACGAAGTATTGTTGGTTGAACACCGTTCCGTTGGGGCAGAGGAACGAGTCGTGCTGTCCGGACTCTTGGCAGATGTGGAACACCTGTAACATGAAAAGCCATGAGTTGAAAAAAATATAACTCGGTACGCACTGCAGTGAGTGACAGAGAGCACATTTTCTCGTCGACGAAAACGTGAAGTCACGGACGGACAGACAGACGGACGGACATGACGAGTACAATGGCGCCTTTTTTTCATAAATGATAAAATGCGCTAACAAGCAATGCAAGTTAGCATCGAGGAAATTCATGTTGTTCTGAACAAAAAAAAAACGAGTTTTAGTGCAGTAGAACACTTGCGATTTGACAAGACAATATGTTTGGACTCAAGAGTTAAAAAATAATGTACAAGTTTTGATTAACACCATGAGTATTAGTGGTGTGATTCTATATGCTTCCCACTGATACAAAGTTCAGGCAGGAAAATGTTGATCACACTATGGTTGAATTAATATATATTAATTCAACCATGGATCAAACCATCACGGCGAACACCGAGACGCAGTTCAGGCGAGAATTAATCGTGACACTACACGAATATCGTTACGAGATGTGCTGAGTTTGGGTTTCATAGGCTTGCAACAGCTCAGTAGTATGATTAAACATCGGAATCCTACTTTAAGGTAAAGATTTCCTGACAAATAGGTCGCTACAATTGCGCTTTGCAGCCTTCATATGGTGATGAGCGAGCTTTTAAACATTATATGAGAGAACTCTCAAGAGCACTTGAAAGGATTTGCAATATTGTGAATTACTCTTACACAAATTACTGTAAGTGTGACCAAATTTATATCATTTTCATTGAGCGGAGGTAAGTTATGTGTTGAGGCGACTCTTGTGTGATAGACGGCTTAATCAATAATGAAGTTATTGAAGATAGTTTTCATCCATGAAGACAGAGAACAAAATTAGTCAGTTAATTGCTTGTAGCAAATAGTCTATTCATAATAGAAAAAGTAACATGAAATTTTGATTTTGTATGTTTGAAGAAACCAAATAAGGAGTCATTTATAAATTATAAGATTTCAGTGATGTGAGAGCATTTTAATGCCACAATATAAGGAACGTTGTTATGAAAATTTGATTCCGTCTTTCGTCATGGATAATTCCAAACTGTTGCCATCATTTGCCAGAGAAAATTTCGTAATTTCCGGACAAATGATTATTATTCTGTAATTTGTACTTATTTATAGAAGCAAAAAAACATTAACAATAACGTTAAGTCAAGTAACTTAAACAATATAGGCGAAATTTGAATATATATAGCGATGGTATAAATAATATAATTGTCAGTGAAGAGACTGCCACCACGCACCTGGCACCGAGCGTCGGTGTCGGCGTAAAGTCCCGGATGTTGTTGAGCCTGACACTGGAAGCCTGTCTCTGGAACCTGATGGTGCACCGGATAGTCCACTCCTGCTACACCAGGTATGGAACTCTCGTCGTACTCTTCAGGAATGTAGATGTTGTTGCCTGGAATATGGAATGATTATTGCTTTGATAACTCACTACGCGGTCGCTGGGAGTCTTGCTGTTAGTGTTTTTTTTTTCAAGCCAGAATTTTGGTTTTAACAAGTTCCCAGGGAAGGATTGAGTTCAGTGAAAGGTTTTGAGGAGTTTCTAAATAAAATTTCGAAATTATCAATGGTTCCATTATCATAGCGTCGGCCCATTAAGCAATATATTATTAAAAAAATTAAAAAATCAGCTATTGGATCGTTTATTTCAAGCCAGCATTTTGGTTTTAACAAGTTCCGAGGCAAGGATTGATTTCAGTGGGCAGTTTTGGGGACTTTCTACATAAATTTTGAAATTATCAATTGTCCCATTATCATAGCTTTGGCCCATTAAGCAATATTTTATTTCAAAGAATTTAATATAAATATTGAATCATTGTATATAATTATACAATGCTAAGCTCGTTACTCACCAGCCCGGACAAAGTTAGGTTGGGAGGCTGCAGCGGCAACGGCTTGGCTGGGGCCGAGATCTTGGTACGGGGTTGATGGAGCTTGGTAGGCCTATGGTAGGGGCAAATATTGGACAAAATTTGTTAAAAATATTATTGAATATCAGCTTTTAGATCAAATATTCTTGCATTTTTAAAATAATTTTTGTTAATTTCGTTTGTTTCAGAGAACTAATTTGAAGATGATAAGAACTCAAATTACGAGTCACCAATGTAGAAATGAAACTTACACAAGAAGAAACAATAATTAAATAGTGGAACAATTTGATCTTGTAGTGACGAATATTCATTTCGATTGCTTCATTAACATTGGATATGTCAGGAAGGTCTGGTCAACGCACCTTATTCGATGTTCTGTATACAGGCGGCTCATACTTGGACCCAGCTCTGCTGTCGGGTCGGCTTGGCGTGACGGACGAAAGTTTTTTCGCATTGGGTACGGATTTTGCAGATGGAACTTTGTACGTGGAAGAAGACCGAGACAAAGACCCTTGTTTCCTTGGCTGTGATGACGATGATGACGAAGAGACTGAGACGGACTTGACTGTGAAGTTCTGAGGCGGAGAGTACGTAGGCACGATGGTAGGTTGTCGTGATAGTGCGTACGAATTTCTTTCTTCGTTGCGGTTTGGTTCGGTCAATTTTGAACCAAAAGTTCCGTCTTCTTGCTGTAGTTGAGATGCAGGCTTGAAGTAAACCGAATGAGATATTTTTTCTGTAGTGGCAGGGGCAAGGTAAACTGGATTAGCTTCAGATGTAGTAGAAGGGGAAGAGTATTTATTCCTAGGCCTCACTGATCCTTTCGGCTCTTGTGATATTCTTTTCTTTGTGACCACTTTCTCCGTGGTCGAAGTGACCGGAGGTGCCCCAGTGTATTTTCTGACTGATACTAGCTTTGGTTTCCCGTAACTACGCTCAGTTGATTCTTCGTAGGTTGGGGCTGACAGGCTGTATGGTTTCTCGGTTGTTGTTGTTATTCGAGCGCTTGTTCTAGACGTCGAGCTTCGCCTTGGCGTGTACGGCTTTAGTGTTGAGGTCGCGGTATTACGAATCCTGATTGGCGTGTAGCTTTTTGTAGGAGTTGATTGAATTTCTTCTGTTTTGAATGATGGCTTAACGAGACGGTAAGTTTTTTCGGTGGCTGGTGGACGATATGTTCGCTCTGTCGTAGTTGAGGTTCGGTATCTTCTCTTAGTGACCACGACTTGTTGTGGTTCCTGAGTAGTGGTTGGGGGTTTGTAGCTGCGTTCTGGGGTTGGGGGAGTGTAAACCGGCGTTGGTGTTGTTGGTCTGGGAGCCCTTTCGGTAGTGGGAGCGCGATACGACCTTTCAGTGGTTACCTGCTGATAAGTCCTTTCGGTGGTCGAGGGTGAAGCCTCTGTAGTAGGTGGTCTGTATGTACGCTCAGTGGAAGGAGCTGCGTACGCAGGCGCTGAAGTGCTAACTTTAGGCGAGCCATATCGGGATGACGGCCGAGAAGGTGTTTGGTAGGCAGGAGCGGTTTCTGAAATGGACACAGGGGAGTCGAAGTAGACCGAGGACGGATGGACTTCAGGCAGCGTTTGAAGAACCTGAAAAAAATTGAACTGATAATCACCGTTGAAATAGCTTTAGAAATGTATGAATAAAAAAGTTTTGCAACGTAGCTTGTTAAAAATTAATACATTTAGCTTTTAATTGGCGGAGACGTTCTGGGTAAGAGCTGTATAGTGGAAAAATGTTCGTTTGAGACGAAAAACATGACCAGAGATGTCAGAATGTGAAATCTTCACGCACGTCAAAAATTCGACAATCCGTCAGGGAACTCAAACAATATATTATTATATTACATTACAAACTATAACATTATTTTTTACGTTTCACAAGACACTCACAGCTCCCCTGTTCTCAGACTCCCGGTAGTCGCCTCGAGGTGGCACGTAGAATTTTGAGAATGGAACCTGTTCTGAGTGCTCTTCTGATCCTGCAAAACTCTCCTCCTCTCCAATAAAGAACAAACCGTAACGTTCTTGATCCTCTAGACTCGAATCTGCACTGAGAACTTCATCACCATCAGCGCCTGGAGAATCTTGCACTTCATGAGTAGATTTTTTCTCTTCGGTGTCGAGGTTTAAGTTACCGTGGACGGCGATGTATCGGTTGGCTAGATCGTCGTCATCAAACCTGACGCTGCCGGAGATGTACTGATGAGCGATCGAAGACCCCGGAGTCTCAACAGAGTTTCCGGGAATGTAGTAAGAGGAGTCCGACAAGTAGGAGAGAGGAGAGCTCGTCACAACCTGTAGGTAGAACAGAAGTAGAATCCACCGAATTAATTGTGGTAAAGCATTGAATTCAGAAAGTGATAACAAATAATAAGCAACGTCGGATGCTGAAAAGACATGGAAATTGTTACTTTTTGATGGCAAACAGGATCACTCAACAGTATGATGAAGCATCTGAATATTATTGAAGAATAAATATATTAAGATGAAGCTAGGAATAGAAAGCCTGTTAAACGTGAGGAAATTGGCCTAATTTAAGACAGAGTTAATTTTTGGAGGTTTTGGCAGTTGCTCATGGGATTGGCACATCTTCATCAAAAATATATGCGTGAATGGAAGAAGACTTCACATTGTTTGATATCAGATACTAGGAGTTCCACCAGCTTGACAAAAATGCCAATCCTTCAGCATTACAAATTTAATTTATTTCCCCTGGAGGCATAANTAGAGTTAGAATTATATTTTAGTTAGAATTATATTTTAGTTATACTAACACTAATATTTTAATTAGAATTATATTTTATCACAAGAGAGCAGCATCACTCACCCAATAATAGGAGGCAGATCGTCGATAGTTGCTTCATGATGGCGACCTGCACGAGAAATTTAATGATTTTTTTATTAGAAGCAGGTATTTCATATTAAATTTTATTTGAAACAAGTAATTCATTTTAATTTTTACTTGAAGCAGGTAATTCATTTTAATTTTTACTTGAAGCTGGCAATTCATTCTAATTTTTATTTGAAGCAGGTAATTCATATTAATTTTTATTTGAAGCGGATAATTTATTTTAATTTTTATTTGATGCCGGGAATTTATTTTCATTTTTAATTGAAGCAGGTAATTCAGATTTATTTTTACTTGAAGCAGGTAATTCATTTTAATTTTTATTTGATGCAGGTAATTTATTTTCATTTTTAATTGAAGCAGGTAATTCAGATTCATTTGCATATGAAGCAGGCAATTATTTTTATTTTATTTGGAACAGGCAATTAATTTAATTTTTATTTGAAGCAGGTAATTCAAATTTATTTTATCTCCTTGCACATTCAATTTGAAAATAATTGGTTATTCGGTCTTCTTTTTGAGATCCCTCGTTTGGAAATTTTGAAACTTTGAATGTTGTCGTGACATGAATATTGATATGAATTTTGTGTTGAATGGAATCGTTAAAGAACCAGCAATGATTGGCAGATGTATATGCGACTTCGCTATAATGGTAGCTGGGTTTGATGTTGGAGCGCAAAATGTTGAGACTATCACTCATTGTGTGGCTAATGAAAAGCGGCAATCATAAGATCTGTAAAAAATTATAGATCGTTGTAAAAATCATTAGCTCATTGACATCCATGAATGGTAGCATTATGCTTGTGATAGATAAAGATAAAAGCCCCCCAAAACAATTGAGTATAACCTTGTATTTTTTGCCTCTCACCGTCTTTTTAAAGTCGACGTTTCGGAAGTGTAAACTCTAAATTTGTGATCAACGCATGATTCCATGTGAAGCAATAATACTAGTTTTTAGAATTTTGTCATGAATTCGAAAATAATGAACAACGCGCATTTCACATCTGACATTTAAAGGCCATTCGGCAAGGGCGAAAAATTGATAAAATTAATGTCTGTAAGCAAATTGCCATCCTACCTCATCGTTCCATGAAAAACATTTCCTAATCATCAGCAGGGTCAATACTTTAAAAAAAGTTAAGAGATCGTAAGTTCATCAGCCAATCATTGACGGCCTTTCAAGCAAAATCCACCAATCATAGACAAGAAAATAGAGCGTAAGTACTTACGTTCACTTAGCGAGTTTTGAAAGTATAGGCCCTGGCTTGTCAGAAATTCCAGTCAAATTGCGCTCAAAAAACGCAGCGTTGCATTCAAAATACAATACGTATGGGTATGCTATAATAGAAACTTCACTTTGTATAATAGAAACTTCACTACATGTTTTATTCATACAGCGTATACAAATTCAAAATTTGTTAGCGTGCCGCACCCGCATAGCAGCGGTCCGCCTTGACATCTGGAGCGCTGCGTGTACAGGAAGCCTGAGCCTTCCATGCTAGCTGCCCGCGTTCTTCCTATTCGATTTCATGCACTAATTCACTGTTGTCTAATTCACAATTGTATTGTTTGTGAATATTGTTATTATTATTTATATAATATTGTTAATATAATATAATATAATATGTAATATTATATAATATTGTTATATTGTGTGTATTGTCTTGTACCTTGTTTCTACTCTGCGAGCCATGCCCGTTTTTCCTATTCGATTTCATGCACTAATTCACAATTTTCTAATTCTCAACTGTATTGTTTGTGAATATTGTTATTATAATATATATAATATAGTTAATATATAATATTATATAATATTGTTATATTGTATGTATTGTCTTGCCCCCTTGTTTCTACCATGCGAGCAATGTCCGTTCTTCCTATTCGATTTCATGCACTAATTCACTATTGTCTAATTCACAATTGCATTGTTTGTGAATATTATTATTCACAAACAATACAATAAAAAATTACAATACAGCCATGTCCGTTTGTGAATATTGTTATTCACAATATTGTGTGTATTGTCTTGTAGCTTGTTTCTACCGTGCGAGCCATGTCCGTTCTTCCTATTCGATTTCATGCACTAATTCACTATTGTCTAATTCACAATTGTATTGTTTGTGAATATTGTTATTCACAATATTGTATGTATTGTCTTGCATCTTGTTTCTACCATGCGAGCCATGTCCGTTCTTCACATTCGATTCATTTAACTATTGAACAAATTGCAATCAAAATATTGATTACGTTATGATTGGGACGAATTATCGAAATTAATTTGTTGGGATTGTAAATGAATGAGCCCAATCCCTCGCACCACTGCGAAAATGACTGAGCTGTCTTTTCACAAAAATTAACATATTTGATTGACTTCCGCTCAAGACACTAACCATCGACTAGCAGGCGGAGCCTGGCGAGGGTGTGGGCTCCATGGGGAAAATTATCATGAATATTGATGCATGATGAAGGCGTGGGGGTAAACGGATGGATGAAGGTGTGGGCTGGACGTATGGATGAAGGCGTGGGGTTAAACGGATGGATGTAGGTGGGGGCTGGACGGATGGATGAAGGTGGGGGCTGGACGGATGGATGAAGGTGGGGGCTGGATGGATGGATGGAGGTGGGGGCTGGACGGATGGATGAAGGTGTGGGCTGGACATATGGATGCAGGTGGGGGCTGGATCTATGGATGGAGGTGAGGACTGGATGGCTGGATGAAGGTGTGGGCTGTACGGATGGATGAAGGTGGGGGCTGGACGGATGGATGAAGGCGTGGGGGTAAACGGATGGATGCAGGTGTTGGCTGGACGGATGGATGAAAGCGTGGGGGTGAACGGATGGATGAAGGTGAGGGCTGGACATATGGATGAAGGTGTGGGCTGGATATATGGATGAAGGTGTGGGCTGGATTTATGGATGATGGTGGGGGCTGGACGGATGGATGAAGGTGGGGGCTGGACATATGGATGAAGGTGTGGGCTGGATTTATGGATGCAGGTGCGGGCTGGACATATGGATGAAGGTCTGGGCTGGACATATGGATGAAGGTGTGGGCTGGACATATGGATGAAGGTGTGGGCTGGACATATGGATGAAGGTGCGGGCTGGACATATGGATGAAGGTGCGGGCTGGACATATGGATGCAGGTGCGGGCTGGATATATGGATGAAGGTGAAGACTGGACGGATGGATGAAGGCGTTGGGCTGAATCGATGGATGAATGCATGGATTGGAAATATGGATGTAGGTTTCACATCATAAAATTAGCATCATAATGTTCGCATCATAATGTTCACATAATAATTTCGTATCATGATGTTCGAAGGCGCCCAGCAGTTCGTGGTTAACACTTTTATACATGGAAGCAGGAGGCCCAAAGCAACAAAATTATTTATTTTTCGTCTCGGTTCGCACATTTGAATAAGCAGGTCCGGCAGGTGATTAATATTATATGACTTGTGGGCCTGAGTGTGTGTAATATACTGACTGATTTATTTTTATTGTATGTGGCACCTAAATGCAAACTATTGGATGAATAATTATTAAAATAATTTCTTTTTGTGTGCACTAAATATTGCGTTGCTCCTTCCACACATGTTACACAGAGCGTCATGCTCCCTCCACACATGTTATACAGAGCGTCATGCTCCCTCCACACATGTTATACACAGCGCCATGCTCGGTCCACACATGTTACACAGAGCGTCATGCTCCCTCCACACATGTTATACAGAGCGTCATGCTCCCTCCACACATGTTACACACAGCGCCATGCTCGGTCCACACATGTTACACAGAGCGTCATGCTCCCTCCACACATGTTATACAGAGCGTCATGCTCCCTCCACACATGTTACACAGAGCCTCATGCTCCCTCCACACATGTTACACAGAGCGTCATGCTCCCTCCACACATGTTACACAGAGCGTCATGCTCCCTCTACACATGTTACACAGAGCGCCATGCCCCCTCCACACATGTTACACAGAGCGTCATGCTCCTTCTACACAGCTCATCCAACACCGAGCTCATAGCAGCTCGGATAATTAATTCATTAATTAATAATTAATTATACTAATAATTAATTATTTAATTGATAATCAGTAGAATTTAAGTCTGAATTGTAATTGCCGCTTGCCCGGCAAGAAAAAACAACGTAGAATATCAGGTTGAACTCAACCCGGGTTTTACTTCAAGTGCAAGCATTGATAAGTTAATTAGTGAAGTGATGTGACTGTGGGGAGTAATAACCGCAAGGTTGTTTAGTGGTAGTTTGCTGCTGCAAGGGGTTATTGCGGCCACTCATCAGCAACCATATGTTGGAAATGTGGAAACTATTGTGCAGTCATCACTTTGCTGATTTTTGTCATTACTTTCATAAATTTATTGATGCCTACGTTTCCTTCTTTAAATTAATTGTATTTTATTGTAGCGAATTAAAAAATTATGTTCATTTAGGTGATTATTATATATAAAATCTAGTACGCACTTTCAAGCAACCTTTCAACGCGCATGTTCATGAAGTTGAAAAATAAATTGTAATGTTCCCTAAAATTACCGCTTCTATTCAAACGCATTCAAATTGCAGTCAAAGCAAAGCGTGCAACATTCTAAATTGTTGATAATCTTCCAAAAATTCATCATATTGTCGTTGAACTAAAATGAAACACGTTGTAGGATGTAACTAAAAATTTAGTACAAATGTTCCGGACTTCTTTTGATAGCGAAGAAGAAAAAAATATAACTCAGTACTCACTGCAGTGAGTAACAGAGAGCGCATTTACTCGTCGACGAAAACATGAAGTCACGGACGGACAGAAAGACGGACAGACGGACGTACAGACGGACATGGCGAGCACAATAGTGCATTTTTTTCATAAATGAGAAAATGCGCTAAAAAGGGAACCGTAGAAACTAGGCATACACTGGATGAGCGGGTTGTTGCTTTGTCCCATTGAAGCGTGCGATGTAACTCTTTTTTTGCTTTGGTAATCGCAGAATTTAGTTTAGCGAAGATCAGCGCCTGCAAAGGCATGGGTCTACTATATTGTTTATGTCCTATTGTATGTTCTAACGTTCTGGGTTGCTTTAATATTGCAATATGATTTAAAGACGTGGAAAAACGCAATTCAGTGTTAGTATGGAACCTTAAATGGAATTTATATCTCTGTATAGGGAGGCCATTGCGAGCTATCACCTATACATTCGTCGTTCCTGCGCTCATTCAATCTTGTGCGCGCATTAATTCCATTCAATATTATTAGATTAATTCTAGTATTTATTTTTAGTTCTTTCGTTCATGTACTCCGTTATTTAATAAAATTATTTATAAAAGCCATTTTTTATAAACCTCGGAAGGCAATTTCACCACACACGGACTGGAAGAGCAGTGTGCATTTGTTTCTGTATTTAGTTACACCTATTATTATTATGTACTGTAATTAGCTAGCCTTGTAATTACTGTTTACTGTCATTAGTTCTCCATGTAATTATTGTTATGCAATATGGCTTTTTTTGCCCGAACGGTAAAAATCGGTCGAAAATTAAGACTTGCACCTATAAATTTCAAGCATTTAATTGTGGCACAATGGATGGTTTAGCTTTTTATTGACCCGAATGGTAACATTAGATAAAGAATGGTAGTCTGAAGGGAAGATCAAAATCCGTATGACGTGTAGTTTAATGAAATCGACGGAGTGCATCTTTACAGATTTGTTTTAACAATGTTTTCATTCATTAAATACACTGACATGATCCCACTCATGAATCTATCACATATACATTTTCTTCATGATTGCAATTAAATTTAAATTTGTCACTAACGATAAAATTTTCATAATATAGGATTTATGCCATGAGCAACTCTATTCATTTCTAAACTGGAGCCTGTGATAGTGAGACATGAAAGCAATCATGTCATATCATTTGATTAGAAAATAGGATAAGTACAATATTATTTGTATTTGACAGGGGAATGCAGTAATAGATCTTCTTTTTATTTAAGTCAAAACTTTGAAATCATGTGTGATGGATCAGACGATGTTCTTTGTAATTTTAATTTTCATCACACGAGAGTAACTAATTAGCAAATCGGTGCAGAATTTCAGCTCTTCTCATTATGCACCATTTTAATTTTGGTTTTATGTATCGGGTGATCGGGTGAAAAAAAAGTTTCAGGAATGCAAAACCTCGTGTGAAGAGGTGTGCACTGTGCAGCGCAGTTTTGCAGTGGTCCAGTGCTGGTCACCATTCATGTAGGACGTGAGATTCTTTCCTAAATTAAATCGCACTTTATCAATAACATGAATGACCTCCTGGCTCAACGGTGCTCGATGCGGGACGGCCGCGGCCTCCGCCATGCCGACAAAAAACTCTTTTTGCGGCCTGCCTTCTGCTCATCCCAGAGCGTCACCCCCATGGCTATTTAAAAAATATTATTTAATAATAATAATATTTAATTTCCAAGCCTCCATGGCTATTTAATAAGGCAGAAATTATTTATTTTAATTCATGTTTCAACGAGAGTTTTAAGGCGGGGTTCATATGTGCTGCAAGCGCCTGTTGCATTAAGCAAGATGGTCGCGAAATTAGGTAGGATTTTTTTATGAAGGATTCGAAATTGGGAAAGATTTAATAATTAGAGAGTATTGAGAGTATTGAGAGTAGTATCGCCTAAGTCGCCTGTGAAGCCTTAATTTAGCTTGTATAAGCATTCACAAGGAAGCATTTTGTATTTTTTTCCAATTTTCGATGTTCTCTTGTTGTGTACTACTTTTATGTGTGCTCCTGTGTGAATAAAGAATACCATACAATAGAATTGCCGAAACCAATTTTACTTGTAGGCCTGTCGCGCGCTCACCTGAAATTCTCAGGCATTATTGAGGGTTTTATTAAACCTGGTTTCCTGCATAACTATTCTCGCCAATGTAAAATGTAAATGTAAAAATGTAAAACTCACTCTGGTGCATTCTATTACATATATTTATTCTTCAGAATATCGAAGAAAGTTTTAAGGCCTTCGTCCCCGAATAAAATAATTGAAACCTTTTCCGAATAAATACAATTGTAAGCCTTTTCCATCTTAATTCTTCATCATCAAATTTTTTGTTCAGTTTTTCGGTCATCCCTTGCTTGGACCGCAGCCTGCCTCATATAGTTTATTTTAATTAACGATATAAATGTGCCTTGACAACGAAATATTGCATTGATTTCCAAGCCTAGACCAATTGTGTATTCATTAATAATTGTAGGGCATGAAATAATTTAGGAACCTACTATCTTAAATCAAAAATATTGTTTCGAATTGTGAAGTTACTTTCTAAATATTAATATTTCAATGTGGGGTAATTTGATGTTTCCATAAAGACTGGGCTAAAAAGTCTGCTTAAGACTTGAACAACCGCACTGCTTGGAATAAAATATCAGGAACGGATGTGATTTACGCCTGCCATATATATAACTCTGAAACATTTCTTGGATGAAAAATATTCACATATAAGAAATTAGTTTCCTGCCTGAGTGCTTAATGCCATGTGATGAGTGATGTTGAAAACCCGTAGGCTTTTCGATGGCGTTGAATAACCTTGAACTCGATTAAGGCTGTAGCGTTTCTCAACCAGCTCGGCAGTGATGCTCAATTTGTCGACTTCATTACTTTAGAATCTACAGTAAACGAATGTTGCTATAAAAATTTGATCTATTTCTTTAGTTATGATTTCGTTTTATTTCCAGCTTCACCAAGAAGTGCTCTTGAATAAATCGTTGCGTTCTTAATAGAATATACTTCTTGTTCTTTATAGTCGCTCGAGAATGAATATTTCTAAGTAATACCAATAATATTGAATCATCCATTAATAATATCATGGTGGTTATACGATTCAAACAATAGTTATTCATTATTGGGATCATAGACGCTACATTTAAAATCAAATCGGAGACAGGATTCGGAAGACATGAGCTTGTGATCTAGATTACAATACGTAATTTGGAGTACTACTTTGAACCACATATGAGCTTGCGTAGGCTTGAATTTTTTCTCTTCATAAGAAATTTCTTCAGGGATAGAAAAGTTTATCTAAGTATGATGATGAACTTGAAGATTCATCGGTAATTGTGTCTGATACGTAAAAGTTTATATTATAATTATCATGCACAATACTCAAGTTCTGGTTTTTATAGTAAATCAAAAGTTCGATTGCTATTTTGAGTTGCGCTCACAATTTTGT